AAGCATATTTTAATTGTTTTCTGAGATGGTGGCGAGGCTTAAATGGATTTTAATTACATTTGAGCATGATTAAAAAGGGAATTTGAACTTTCATTATTTTCCTTATTTTCTAGAATTGAGCATGCCCACATGAGATTCTTCGCTTTATTTTTGAAAGTGAGAACGATCGTGAATCGTGGTTTCTGTAAATCTTGCTTGGTTTTGTCTCCGATATGGTCGTGTTAATCGTGACCCCGCTAGTGGGGGAGGTTTACAAATGCTAGCACATGTCGACATGTTCGTGATAGGACCGATTCGCTCGTGATATCCTACTAGTGGGAGTATACACTAGTACTCGTGTGCCTGCCAGTGGGAGGTTTATAACACTGGCCATGACTAATAGAGGAGACCACTACGTGATTTTACTTGCATTAATGATTTGTTATTGAAACGCTTTGTTCATGTTTCAACCGATTATTTGGCATGCTTTAAACTTTGATGTTGGGCCCCCATGTTTACTTACTGAGATATTTCTATCTCACGGTTTCCTTGTTCACCATTTCAGGTAGTGAGACTCGACGCGTGGCAAGCCCGGGGGAGTGACGAGCTAGACGGCTAGGCACTTTTGGACTTAGGTTTTTTTGTAGCTAAGCCGTTAGTCACCCATGCTTGACATAGAAAATTTTGTGTACGGAATTTAGTGTTAATCATGATTGTATATATGAAGTGATAAATTTTGTACATTCGACTGGTAACTATTTGGTAAATTAAAAGGCTTAAATCTGAATTGCTAAGTAAGAACTCAGTAGGTCTCGAGCCTTGTGCATTTGTGGGCCCCGCTCACGAGTGCACGGCGTCTATTTCGCTCTTGGTTTGGGGCGTGACAAATTTTGTGGTATCAGAGCCTAGGTTAAATTAGGAGCCTAGGATTAGCCTAGAACTTGACTAGCAATGAATTATAGGAACGTGGTGAGGCATGAGAGTGGGGTTAATTAAAGGCGCTTGTTTGATTCCTTCCTTAGTATGTGTTGGTTTCTTTTGTTTTGATGCTTTTGTGTCGCTTAGTCCCGGAAGTGAAAACTTGCCGGGAAATTTCTCGTGGGAGCAATTGATTAATAGTCTATAAACCATCAATGGCCCAACGTGCTCGTCCGGCTCAGCTTACTTGCCACGTTTGTGGGAAGGTTGGGCACACCCGGGATTAATGCCACACTGTTATTGGGGTTTGCTTCAAATGTGGCAAGCAGGGACATCGGATTGCAAATTGTCCACTACTAGACCCCAAAGCCTAGAGTACTCAGCCTACCTCTCCGCAGAGTTCTACCAGTCAGGGGGCGCAGAAACAGAGTACCGGGGTTCGGACGAGAGCCCAGCAAGCGAGAGTACAAGTGATGACTCATAAGGAAGCTGCGGCCACCGACGTAATCACGGGTACCTTGCCTGTTAACTCTGATTATGCGCATGTTTTATTTGATTCGGGTGCGTCGCACTCTTTTATTGCTCGATCTTATGTTTTGAAACGAGCTTTGCCTGTTGATACCTCTGATTGTGAACTGCATGTGGACACCCCTTTAGGAGGGGTGATGACTACTAGGGAGATGTGTAGGACTATAGATATTTATATTGATGGTAGACAGCTGAGTGCTAGTCTGTTTGTGTTAGATATCTCCGATTTTGATATCATTTTGGGGATGGATTGGCTGTCAAAACACTTTGCCTCTATAGACTGTCATCGGAAATGGGTAATTTTTAATATTCCTGGTGAGCCAGAATTTAGTTTTCAAGGCAGTGGTTCTTTTGCTCTACCCGTGTTAGTATCTGCCTTGCAAGCTCAGAAATATCTTGTAAATGGTTGCCAAGGTTTCCTAGTCTCCGTTATTGATGCTAGTAGTGTGACATTGAGACTAGAAGACATACTAGTGGTGCATGAGTTTCCGGATGTATTTCCGGAGGATCTCCCAGGTTTACCTCCGGATAGAGAGGTTGAATTTGCCATTGACCTTGTTCTTGACACCGGACCCGTTTCCAAAGCACCATACCGTATGGCTCCTGCAGAATTGAAGGAGTTAAAGGTCTAGCTGGAGGAACTCCTTGAGAAAGGGTTTACACGCCCTAGTGTATCACCTTGGGGAGCTCCAGTGTTGTTTGTCAAGAAGAAGGATGGGAGCATGAGGCTATGCATTGATTACCAGGAATTGAATAAGGTGACTGTGAAGAACCGGTATCCCCTTCCTAGAATTGACGACTTGTTTAACCAACTCAAGGGTGCTCAGGTATTTTCTAAGATTGATCTTTGATCTGGCTACCACCAGGTGAAGATTAAACCGGATGATGTGCCAAAGACTGCCTTTCGCACCCGTTATGGTCATTATGAGTTTATAGTCATGCCATTTGGCTTGACAAATGCCCCTGCCAGATTTATGGATTTGATGAATCGGGTGTTTAGCAAGTACCTAGACCAGTTTGTGGTTGTCTTTATTGACGACATTTTGGTTTACCCTGCTAGCCATGCTCTTCATGAGAAGCACTTGAGGACAGTCCTCGAGACGTTGAGAAGGGAGAGGCTGTTTGCTAAATTCAAGAAGTGTGAATTTTGGCTAGACAATGTTGCATTTCTAGGTCACGTGGTGACTAAGGATGGAATCTCTGTTGACCCCCAGAAAATTGAGGCCGTGGTTGATTGGAAGAGGCCAAATAGTGTTGCAGAAATCCGTAGTTTTCTGGGATTGGCTAGTTATTACCGCCGATTTGTGGGGGATTTCTCTAGAATTGCTCTGCCCATGTCTCGTCTTATTAGAAAAGACACCAAGTTTGAGTGGACCCCAGAGTGTGAGAAGAGCTTTTTGACCTTGAAGGAGAAGTTGATCATTGCTCCTGTACTTGCACTTCCAATTAATGGGGAAAAATTCACTATATATAGTGATGCCTCTAAAAAGGGTTTGGGATGTGTCTTGATGCAAAAAGATAGGGTTATTGCATATGCTTCTCGGCAGTTAAAGCCTTATGAAGAAAATTACCCTACCCATGATCTGGAGTTGGCAGCTGTGGTATTTGCACTCAAGATCTAGAGGCATTATCTGTATGGTGAGACTTGTGAAATCTTCACTGATCACAAGAGCCTTAAGTACATTTTCACTCAAAAGGAGCTTAATATGAGGCAGAGGCGATGGCTTGAACTTTTAAAGGACTATGACTTGACCATTAGCTACCATCTGGGCAAGGCTAACTAGGTAGCAGATGCGCTGAGCAGGAAGTCCTCTGGCACTGCCTCTAGCATCCTTGCCACTCAGAAGGAGTTACTTGAGGATCTTGTGAAACTGGATGTGGAGTTGAGAGTGGACAGCACTACGGCTTATCTAGCCACCCTCAGTGCACAACCGGCCTTAATAGATAGAATTAAACTTGCCCAACAAAAAGATTCCTTCTTGCAGAAGATGAAGGAAAAAGTAGGAGTCGAGGAACCCCACATGCAAGAATTCAGGATTTCTGATGATGAGATTCTGTGGTTTGGTGACAGGCTGTGTGTACCAAGAGACCATGCTTTAAGGCGTGAGATTATGGGAGATGCCCATTATACTAGCTATACAATCCACCCAGGGAGCACCAAGATGTATCGTGATTTACGTAGTACATTTTGGTGGCAGAACATGAAGAGGGAGATAGCTAGATTTGTCTCACAATGCTTGACTTGCCAGAAGGTCAAGGCTGAACATTAGAGACTTTCTGAAAAACTGCAGCCGTTACTTATTCCTCAGTGGAAGTGGGAAAACATCACCATGGACTTTGTGACTGGATTACCACGAACCTTAAAGGGTAATGATTCCATTTGGGTCATCGTTGATCGATTGACCAAATCAGCTCATTTCTTACCTTACCGGACTGGCACCTCCATTGAAAAGCTTGCTAATATGTACATGGAGGAGGTAGTCAAACTACATGGAGTCCCTGTGTCTATTGTGTCAGATAGAGATACCAGATTTTTGTCTCATTTCTGGACTAGCTTACAGCAGGCACTCAGTACTCAATTAAATTTCAACACGGCTTTTCATCCTCAAACTGATGGGCAATCTGAGAGAACTATTTAGATACTTGAGGACATGTTGAGGGCTTGTGTTCTAGATTGGAAGGGTTCGTGGGATCAACACTTATCCATGGCTGAATTTGCGTATAATAATAGTTATCAGTCTAGAATCCGCATGGCACCGTTTGAGGCTTTGTATGGTCGAAGGTGTAGATCACCTGTTTGTTGGACAGAAGTGGGCGAAAGGAGCATTTTAGGCCCAGAATTGGTGCAGCAATCTTCTGAGATTGTGCAGTTGATCAAGGAACGCCTTCATGCTGCACAAAGCAGGCAGAGAAGCTATGCGGATAGAAGGAGACGAGACCTTGAGTTTGAAGTTGGTGACCATGTATTTTTGAAGGTGTCACCCACTTGAGGTGTTCTCAGGTTTGGCATCCGGGGAAAATTGAGTCCGAGGTATATTGGACCATATCCTATCTTGGAAAGGATTGGCGAGGTAGCTTATAAATTGGAGTTGCCTGGAAATCTAGCGGGTGTTCATGATGTGTTTCATGTGTCTTTACTTCGGAAGTATGTTCCCGACCCGAATCACATCATTAATCCTGAACCAATTCAACTCCGGGAGGATCTTACTTATGACGAGCACTCGATCCGCATTTCAGATTTCAAGGAGAGAATAATGCGGAGAAGGACCATTCGTTTTGTTAAGGTCTTCTAGGACAACCATTCGGTTGAAGAAGCTACTTGGGAGTTGGAATCCAAGATGAGGCAGGAACATCCGCACCTCTTCCAAGATTGAGGTATGAGTTTAGGGGACTAAACTCCTTTTTAGGAGGGGTGGATGTAATACCCCAAAATTTCCTAGAGCATATAAGTTGGGTTAGGGACTAAATGATGAAGAAACATTATTAATGGACCTAACCTTCAATTTTTTTTTTCAAACTCCAAAGGGATTAAAAGGTTAATGGATAAGGCTGGCTGACTCATTCTCTTTTTCTTTTCCTTTTTCCTTCTTTCTTCCCCCAGCATTTTCGCGTGTCTGCTCTGTTTTCCTTTCTCCCTGCAACCGAACATCACCAGCCATTTCCAGTGCCTTCATCCAAAAAATTGGTAAGAGAACTTGATGATTTTTGTTCTCCTCTTGCCCAAGAACAAGTCTCGAACTTAGAACTTCTCTCTCTTGCAGAAAAGCCGCTGCATCTGCTTTGCTTCTCCCTTCCTTGCTGCCGGCTGTTGTTGGGTATAAGCTCCGGTTTTTCCTAGTAAAACCAACCCAGAAACTCCTCTTTTCAGCCTTGATGTATGTTGGGTTCACCCTAATCTTTGTTCCTTTCAATTGCTAGTGGTTCCCGAATTTCTCCCCAATTTTCCCGCCGGCTCTTCCCCTCAATCTGCAGCTCCAGCTTTGCTAGTTGAGGATTTTTGGTAAGTTAGCTCCTCTAATCTCCGAGAATTGGTTGATTAAGTGCTAATTTGTGAGTTTAAGTGGTTGTATGAAATGGGCTTGGGTTGTTTGAAAATTCTGTTGAAATAGGGATGAGTTTTGGCCATTTGAAAATGGGCTTTGGTTGATGATTTGTGTAGGAAATTAGTGGGTTTGATTGTTGTGTGATGTTCGAGAGAAAAGGGGAGAATTTCGTGAATTGGCCATTTTCTGTCAAGGTCGGTTCTCCCAAATTCCTGTCCATTAGTTTGAGAAATTGTATATCTGTAATTGTGTAATTGTGTATACATAGATATTAATTGGGAACATTGTGATTAGGTCCTTGATTGTCCTGTGGCCTTAGCACTGGGATTAGGCCTTCTGTCCTGTGTAATTAAGGTAAGTAAATTATGGTAATGCCCTTAAATTTTTTAAGCATATTTTAATTGTTTTCTGAGATGGTGGCGAGGCTTAAATGGATTTTAATTACATTTGAGCATGATTAAAAAGGGAATTTGAACTTTCATTATTTTCCTTATTTTCTAGAATTGAGCATGCCCACATGAGATTCTTCACTTTATTTTTGAAAGTGAGAACGATCGTGAATCGTGGTTTCTGTAAATCTTGCTTGGTTTTGTCTCCGATATGGTCGTGTTAATCGTGACCCCGCTAGTGGGGGAGGTTTACAAATGCTAGCACATGTCGACATGTTTGTGATAGGACCGGTTCGCTCGTGATATCCTACTAGTGGGAGTATACACTAGTACTCGTGTGCCTGCCAGTGGGAGGTTTATAACACTGGCCATGACTAATAGAGGAGACCACTACGTGATTTTACTTGCATTAATGATTTGTTATTGAAACGCTCTGTTCATGTTTCAACCGATTATTTGGCATGCTTTAAACTTTGATGTCGGGCCCCCATGTTTACTTACTGAGATATTTCTATCTCACGGTTTCCTTGTCCACCATTTCAGGTAGTGAGACCCAACATGTGGGAAGCCCAGGGGAGTGACGAGCTAGACGGCTAGGCACTTTTGGACTTAGGTTTTTTTGTTGCTAAGCCGTTAGTCACCCATGCTTGACATAGAAAATTTTTTGTACGGAATTTAGTGTTAATCATGATTGTATATATGAAGTGATAAATTTTGTACATTCGACTGGTAACTATTTGGTAAATTAAAAGGCTTAAATATGAATTACTAAGTAAGAACTCAATAGGTCTCGAGCCTTGTGCATTTGTGGGCCCCGCTCACGAGTGCACGGCGTCTGTTTCGCTCTTGGTTTGGGGCGCGACAGAGGTGGAGGAAAATCTGAGGTCGAAAATTAGAAGGAATTGAGGAAGAAATTTGAGGGAAATTTGAGAGAAAAATCGAGGGAGAAGGGAAGAGAATTGGCGAGCCTGGAAGGAACATTGGAGAGATTGAGAGAAAGTGCAGCAGCTTGTAACCAGAACTTCAAGGAAATAAAGCTTGATTTTTCATATTTTTCAAGTGTGCATTGTTAATTTTTTTGTGTTGTTCTGTCATGTTCTTTTTTCGGTAATTGCTTTGGTTTCCTTGTTAAATTATTTCCTTCTGCAACGGATCTTGAGAAAGTTGGAAATAGCCTTTCATATTTTTATCTAATGCACTTAAGTTGATGATCCAAGATAATATGTGTACTGTTTATCACTTTGCGTAATTACCAACATGGCTGTTTTGTTTTCATATATTTTCTTTAATTGGATTAGATTTTTAGGGAGGAAAGGCTTGGAAGATGTGATTAGATTAGTTTAATTAAAGTAATTAAACAAAACCCATGGAATAGTCTTGTGCTCGATTCCGTTTTCCTTGTATGAAGTTTTTTTTTAGGAATGCATTAGATGAAAAAAAAGAAATACAGAAACGAGAGCAGAGGAAAGCTATAGAAAAAAAGAATATATATATATATATATAAAGAAAGAAAGAAAAGAAGCAGAAACGGAAAAAAACAGAAAACAAAAGAAAAAGAAAAAAAAGAAACAAAAGAAACGGGAAAGAGGAAAAAGGTTGATGATGATGAACAGTATTGGTTTAAATTTTCTGACCTTTTTTTTTTTGGGTAGCTATTATTGATAAATAAAAAAATTGAAACAAAAAGAAATAAAATAAAATAAAAACATAAACGGGAAAAGGACAACGATGGGGTTTTTAAAGTTTTTTATTATTTTATTTCTTGTTTTTTTCTTGTTTTATGTTCTTGGTAATTATTATTATTTTCATAAAAATTGAAATTCCCCAAAATTAAAGTATGTGGTAACCATATTTATATGAAAGTTGTGGGGAGCCTAATACCTCCCCCATGCTTAACCGACCCTCCGAACCTAGTCAATTTCTACGAAGACCTTGGTGATCTATCCCACCTCATTTGGATAGATGGCGACTCCATCCATTTTGGCACGTCAACATATATGTAATACCATATTTGGTATACAATTGAGTACCACCAACAAATCTTTCACTGTCTAAGATTTTGGTAGATTTTCTAAACAAAATGTAGTCTCTTTTGCTAATTTCCCATGTAGTGAAACTTGTGTAGCCGTCCATGCATTAAATATAATTGCAGGCTGGTAATGGAGATTTAAATGGCATTTCTAGTTAGTTTTTAATGGGATTGAAAGTCTTTTAATTAGCATCCAATGATGTAGTTTTGGGATCAAGTTTTGTCTCCACATATTTGCTACTTATCCCTTCTTAGCGAAGATGAGTAGTATCGCCAACCCCAAGCTTGGCTAGAGTGAATACTATACTTCGCCAAGTGGGTAACGTTCATCCATCTATGCATACCAAGCTGCTACCCCTTAGTTTATCCCAAATAATCCCCATGAGCTTGGGTTTATGGGTTCATGTTCATCTACATCAAAGGGCAAAATATGAATAAGTTTTTGTTCAAATATAGAAGTGTGAAATATGTAAGTATTCGTACTAAAGAAGAATACTTCTTTGTGTATTGAAGGGGATGGTGTGAACAAATATTGTTGTGCCTTTTTGTTCATTCATTGTAGGAAGCACTTGAATAATATTATTGTATAGGTCTAGTGATTCATTAAGATAAAGAATGTATAATATGGATGTATGTTGCAGTATTGTTTCATTAAGTCAAACGCTGTTGGTCAATGATACCTGTTAACACATAAAAAGGTAGTAAAAATATGTTGTAGATTGGGATTACCGATGATCAATAATATTGCTTGTTTGTGTAGTAGGAATAAAAATGCATATGAGCACCAACCATGTTATATATTGTAGGGTCAACCAAGAATAGCTAGTCATAGCCAGAGAAACAATAGTGGCTAGCTTTGTCCATGGCTAGAGCATGAACTATGTAGAGCAAAGGAAGAGCATTCCCAATAATCTGCCATGCCACGAAGGGGATAAATCTCAAACAAAGAGCATTGATGAAAGCATGAAAATGTATATTTAAAGTGTACTTAACCATTGACATTTGTGGAATTATGGACTTAAGAGTTGTATCTTTTTACTAATAATTTTATAATTGTTCATTTTATTCATGTGTGTAAATTTTTGGTGATTAAAGGTTTAATAACTAAATGGAGAGAATTAAAAGTAAGGACTCAAATGCAAAGGGCCAAAAAGATGAGGGTCCAAGGATTGAATTTAGAAGTTTAAAGGCTCAAGTGCGATTTTCTCCATTTTTATTAAGGAGTAAATTGTAGAGATTAGAAATATGATCATCAACTTGCGTGGAATCCAGGAGTTAGGGACCAAGATTGTTATTTTACCATTAACCAAAATTGCACAAAAGGCCAAAAACCCGACACAAACTATCCCATTAGCTCTTCACTCAAGGTGCCGATACTTTGTTGAGGTTATCGACCCGTTATGAGATTTTAAGCCAAATTGTATCTGTTATAATTATTTTGATGTGGGTTCCACCGCCATTATAATTAGAGTTTCTAAAATCTTATAAATACTCATCCAAGTTCAAAATTGAGAGAGGTGGAGAGGCTATTCCTAGACTTATATTTTCTTCTCAAAAACTAGAGAATTATGTCAAAGAGCAACTAAATTTTCAAGAAGGGTAGGAAGAAGTTCAATTGAGAAATTTGACTTGTTATTTTATTTTGATTTCTTTATAGATTTTATTGTTTAATTTTATTTTTAAGAGATTATTAATTATTTTAGATTTGAAAACTCTAAAAATTATATTTATCAAATTTCATATAAGATTAGTCATGTTCTTTTTATATGTAATTTGTTACAATTTAATTGATTAGTAGATTTGTTTTATGGGTTGATCCTTTACTGCAGTATTGTCAATTAGATATATTGTCACTCTCGGATAGCTCGTAAGGATAGATTAGTTTATTCTTCATTGAAATTAATTTCTCTCAAAATAAATATATTAATTATTATTATGGGTCTTCAAAGCTAAATCTTTCTATTATTTCTTTGGGATGTGAAACATGTAATTGAGTAATAAATAAGAATCAAAATTTATAACCGTTAAACAAATCAATTAACTAAACCCTGAAGTCTTGTTTATCATAATATTGTTTTCAATCCTTTATAATTATCATCTTGTATATGTTAATTTAATTTCTTATTTTGACAACTCTTTTTATTGGTTTAATATAGCTTCCCTATGGATTCGACACCTAAAACTACGCTACAACAATCGCCTAGGCGAAGAGCATTAATTTGAGGAATTTTGGGACGAGACACCAAAATTTGGCACCTTTGTCGGGGAAGCCAAATTTACAATTAGAGTTTGAACATTCTTCACTTTTCTTTTATTTCTTTTATTTGCTTCTTTTGTTTAGTTTATTTTATTTGCTTGCTTTTATTTTATTTTCTTTATTTTTTTAAATGATTAAATCCCCAATTTGGTCCCTGAACTATTGTACGGATCCTCAATTTGATTCCTAAACTAAAAAAATCCCTAATTTGGTCCCTAAACTATTGTACGGACCCCCAATTTGATCCATAAACTAAAAAAATCCTTGATTTGGTCTCTAAACTATTGTACGGACCCCGATTCAGTCCCTATTGTTTACCAATTTACCCTAAGTTGGTCCTTCCATACAAAAACCAACTGACGTGTTTTGTTATTAATAGGTTAAATACCCTTTTTGGTCCCTCTACTATAGGAAAAAGCCCCTTTTTAGTCCTTATACCGAAAAAATCCCCTTTTTGGTCCTTAAAGTTCGAAATCCGACCCCTTTTTGGTCCCTTCGTTAAATTTTAGCTGATGTGGCAAGTTAATTAATGGAAAACCTTTTTTTTTTCTTTACTTAAATTGTGTGAAAAATCCATCTGGCAAAATTTGATGATGTGGCCAATTTTTTTACATAATTGCAATTACAAATATTTTAAAGGTCATTTTGTGGTTAAAGGTACTTAATTTTAATTACGTATTTGCCCTTGTCTTCTTCCTCGTTCTATCTTATTCTCTCTTTCCTCCAGCCTTCATTTTTTTTTTTTTAACCTTTGCCTTATGGAAATCAGATTTGGAAAGGTGAACCCAAGTGCCTGGGTTCGTTGGGTTCGTCATGATTCCAAGCATAAGTTCATCGCGAACCCAGGCAACAAAAGATTAAGTATAGAAGGGATGGTGTTCAGATTGACAAGGTCACTACAAAAGAAGAAGGCACATTGATTGCCATGGCAACATTTGGATCCTTTTTGCACAGCCGAGGCACAAACAAAGCAACACAAATTCACCACATCAGGTTGCCATTTCCATTCTATCAATGAAGTTTGATTTTTGTTGAGCAACAACAATAAGAAAGTATGGTGGAATAAAAAACTTGGCCAAATCGCTCTGAAACCATTTCAAACCCATCCCCAATTTCAAATAGACATGAAAGGCAATGGAGTGAGGAAACGACTGGAGCAATGCTTGAGGAGGAAAGGAGTGGTGAGTGAATGCAATGTCATAGGGTGTTCCTTCGATCTTTGAAATTCCTTGTAGAAGGTTGGATCTGGAGGCTCAATCTCTGCTCTGAACACCATGGAAGTCGCAAACCCTAAGAAACGCAAGCGGGACAACTCCATCGCACTCAACGGTGACAACGACCTTTCTCTCTTGGAAGCCATTAAGAAATCTCAGAGCACCATCGATGTGCTGGACATCTGCACCCTCAAAAAACTAGTCTTCTCCTTCAAGCGTCGATTCAGAAAGAACATCAAGGCTTGCGTCAAGTACCAAAACCAGTTGGAGCACTTTGCGGACTCCGAGGTAGACCTCCATGACGACCTCCGAAAGCTCAAGATCCTCGCTAAAGCCCTCGAGCTATACCCCCGACCTTGTCAATCTGAACACCATCCCTTCTATACTCAATCTTTTGTTGCTTGGGTTCACGATGAACCCCATGCTTGGAATCGCGACGAACCTAGCGAACCTATGCACTTGGGTTTGCCTTCCCAAATCTAATTTCCATAAGGCAAAGGTAAAAAAAAAAAACAAAAACAAAAAATGAAGGTTGGAGGAAGGAGAGAATAAGATAGAACGAGGAAGAAGACAAGGGCAAATACGTAATTAAAATTAAGTACCTTTAACCACAA